GTCCCAAATGGAAATGACTACACACCATCCCCTTTGGAAAGGAACATGAGTCACTGGAGGAGGGATCGATTCTTTTTAAGGGAAAGATTTGTTTGTGTTTCGTATTGCGCATGGCAGGAATTGGGAGACGAAACGTTTGCATTTGAATATTACATTGTTATGTATATATTCCTTAAAATGGATATTTTTAAATTTTTTTTTGCTTCCAGAGGCTCAAAAAGCTTCCAAGTTGATAAAAAAAGTCGTAAACTTCGTAAGCAAATACTTTATAATAGCATTAAAAATGTGTATAATATTTAAAAACAATAATGTAATTAAAGTCATACTTCAAATATGACATGATCGGTTTGTCATTGTAATAAGCATTTAAAAATGAACGTTAATTAGAGAAATGAAGTAATTGTTGATTAATAAATTCGATTATGTTAAACAACGCCTAAACAAATATTGTTTTCGCAACTTCACTCATCATGTAATATTTGTGTTTGAAGAACTTCATGTAATTAAAATTAACATACATTCATTGACTGCTTGTATTTTTTTTACTTTTTCGCTGGCGATATAATCTCATTCTTTGAACAGCTGTAATATCTGTTTTGCCTAAAAATATTTTCCATTTTAATAACTTCAAAGATTTATAACGAATAATATAGAAATAATTTTTAATCAATGTTTAATTTGTTTTATTATTTTCAAGAAACACGGTAAATATTCTTCTGATTCGGGCATTTTTCATTAAATCAAGATTTGTACTTCGATGTAATTTTAAAATGCTTATTTATCTATCTATGTCGATTTCCTTGTTGATATCGGTACGCATACAACGTTGATGTCAGTACGCATACAACGACAGATCTCTATTCACCTACACGACGACTAATCACAATGGACCCTTATAGAAATGATATCATCGAGAGCAAATGACGAATCATTGGCACTCGACTCTTATTATATCCTTTCTGCCGTAACGCACTTCCGTTGCATTTGTACGGATTTTTACCCTAGTCGCGCCTAAAGAAGTTTTTCTTCATAAATATATCAAATTTTTGTTGAAAAATAAGCACAAACAATGTTATTTTCAAAATTTTGATTCACTTGTCGCTAAGTTAAAAAATTCCATGAAAATGAAATTTTACGAATGTTATTTCTATAAAAAAATATAAATAGCCTCGTGCCTTAAATTGCTGGAACTTCCTGCACTGTAATTCGAGAAGTTTTTAGTCTGAATCAAAATTGAAATCCGAATAATTGCACTTTTTTTCTTTTTTTTCGGCTTTTTTCTCCGTATCTCCAAAACGGCTGGGCCTGCCTTTGCCAAAAACTAATCAACACATCTCCCTAACATAAGGAATCGAATACTTTTTGAATCATTCTAATCGAATGCTCCGTTTTCTAAAAAACTCTATTTCTATTTTTTGCACTCTTTGCTACGTATCTCAGAAACGACTGGACCTGCCTTTGCCAAAAATTAATCAGCACATCCCGTTATCAATAGGAATCGAATGTTTTTTGAATCATTCAAATCGGTTGATCCGTGTTCGACAAAATATTGTATCCACATGTACTTTTATCACAAACAGACTTTTTTCGAGAAAGTTGTTTTAAAAAAATTTCTTAACAGAATTTATAAAAAAATCGGATAATTTTGAGTGATTTTTATTTAAATATATTAAAAAAAATCGTAAATTACGTAATCATATTATATTTATTTATATTAGATATTTAGGTAAAAATATTGGATATTTATTTATATTAGATATTTATTTTATTTATATTAGATATTTAGGTAAAAACTTGGAAATTACGATTTTTTTTTAAATTTTAAAATGAAAAAAAAAAATTATCTTACCGTTTATTGAATTAGGATAAACGGTTCTCTTAGTAATTGCTTTTCTTGTGCTTTTCGCTCCGCATCTCCGAAACGGCTGGACCTGCCTTTGCCAAAAACTAATCAGCACATCTCCTCATCAATAGAAATCGAATATTTTTTGAATCATTCAAATCGGTTGATCTTTACTCTCGAAAACGTGGACGAAAAATATTGTACCCGCACACATACACACACATCATAATTTTTTTAAAGTTAAATGATAGTCGACACGTATTCAAGACTAATTTTTTAAAAAAAAATCAAAACCAACTTAATATTTATCTCTTCATTTTTTTGTTATTAATGTTTATCAAGCCAAATTTTCGAAATAAAAAACGATAAAAAATTAAACTGTTTATTCTGTACGTTTTGATGTCATCATTCTGTATGTTCCGAAAAGAAAATAAATATGTTTATTATATAATTATAACTATAATTGAACCTCTTACTGTTTTTTTTATTATTTGTACGTTTATGCACTGAAGATGAATCAAATGCGGTTCGAAACGTATGCAAGACTAATTTTAAAAAAATATTTTATTTTTTTCTCAAATTATTTTTTTGTTATAAATGTTTTTCAGACAAATTGCTGAAATAAAAAACGATAAATATTTTAATTAATTATTTTGTACGTTTTGACGCAGTGTTTGTGTCATCATTAAGCAAGTTATAAAAACAGATTAATCTGTACCCAGTAAACACGCGATGTTGCTGACAACATTTGAAAAAAATCCCGTCGCGATGTCCGCGATGTGACAAAATATCATGTTGTTTAGATGTTTTATCTAAATCTCAATGCACATCGCATTTGTGAGCACAAAACAAATATTGTTTTAACATTTTATCTAAATCTCAATGCACATCACATTTGTGAGCACAAAACAAATATTGTTTTAACATTTTATCTAAATCTCAGTGGATGCACATTACACATTGTTTTATAAAACAAGTTATAAGTTCAACACCTAACTATATAGTTAATATAGATAAATGCTGAAGTAAACAATGGAGCTGTAGAATCTTTAAATTTTTAGTTTTGGTATGGAAATTATATAGAATTTTTATAAATTTTCAATATAATTTTTATGTATATTTAAAAATTATATTAAAAATTTGTATTATATTAAAATGCGTGCAAAATACTAGGAAATAAAAGTTTGCAGATAAAAGTGAATGAAAAAAGTTAATTAATAAATTCAATTATGTACAAAACTTTTATATTTAAACTTTTGTTTCGTATTGCCAGAAGTGTGTTTATGAAGTTTGATTTTGAAGACATGATGGCGGGATGTTTAAATAGAAATTAACCAAAGTTTTTTTTTCTACAAATGTATATTAATCATAATTTTAATTTAATAGTGAACAAAATATATAACTTTAATTTAAATTGTTGAAACAAATATGAAAATAATAACATTGTGATTCATGTAAATGCTGTGAGTTAATGAATTTTGCTGCCTAGTGAGTGTCAACACTAATAGGATGACAAGGACATCTATAGGTAGGACTCTCTAACAATAAAATTCAAGATGGTGCCTCATGCTGACATTAAAGAAACATCAAAGCGTGTTTTATAAAGTTGTTTAATAAGTTTGTAGTTTGAAACCCTTAACAGTTAAAAAAAATGAACTCGTAAGTACATCATATAGTTATTTATAATAATATTTAATTATTATTAATGTTTACTGGATTTTATATTTCTGTAGCATTATGAATGACATGAATGGAATTCTCAATGAAGAGGTTAAAAAAAACATTGCCGCTGTATTGTCAACCGAATATTATGCTGAAAGCAGAAATCTAATGAATTTCAGAAGATCAGATGCAAGATGATGTTTCAGATCTGTTAGCTAGGATTAAAAATAATGCATTTGACAATCGTTCAAATCAAATCGATCGATGAATTACAGTCAGTGGAAAAATGACAGAGGATTATGACTTGACTTCTATATATAAACTGTTTTAGAAACTCTTCAGAATAAAGACGATAATACCCTCAATGTTTGCAAGCGTTTTGTGTATAATGAAGAGGCGAGGAAATAATGGTTGAGACATGACATGCACTATATATAACCAATCGCTATGAAGAAATTAATCAATTTTAATGTAAAGTTGAAAAACTAATCTGTTTCATGTATAAATAATTTCTTAAATGAATGTGTTTCCTTTACATTAGGATTGATTAAAATACACACATATATATGTATATATATATATATATATATATATATATATATATATTAAATTGTAGAGTCTTGGATTTGTGTAATAAATTTCTATTTATAACATTTATAAGTTTAACTTTAATTGCAAATATTGATGCTAATTTGTAACATTTTTTTATATGTGATTATCTATGAATAAATAAATGATTCTTGAATAAATAGTCTATTATTAATAAATTAAAAATAAAAATTCATGCCTGTGTGTGTACAGAAAAGAATATTGAATTAATGTACACAATTACGTTGTTTTCATGTTTTGTCAACATCAGTTCAACATGCGATTAAACGTGTTAAAAAAGTCGCGACAAAAATCGCAAATGTAACATCACTTGGCGCTCGTTTAACGTTCTATGCGACAAAAACGACTGCGGCGTGGCGATATCTCACATCGCGGGCGCGATGTTGTATCCATATTGTTTAGATGTAATTTTGTTTACTGGGTACAGTGTACATATATTTCTACTTTTATCACAAACGGACATTTTTTTCAAAAAATTGTCTTTATTTGATTCAAAAAATTTCCTCAACAGTATTTATAAAGAATCGGATAATAAAATGTTTAATTTTTGTTTAATAAATGTTTGTTTAATAGTTGTTTAATAATTGTTTAATAGTTGTATTTTACTGTAATTAATTCAATTAAGATGATTTATTTTCTGTAATTATTAAATTTAATCCTGTATCCGTAATATAAATATAAATATAAATATATAAATATAATACCTAAGAAAAAGATCCTGAAAATGGAACGTGACTAATTCCAAAACGTCCAAAAGACTAACTATAAATTCCCTCAATTATAAATTATTTTTCAATTATTATTTCGCCCAAATAATTTATCTTATATAAATAAAACACCAATATAATATTTTTTATAACAAAATTTATAAAATATATTTGCCACAATTAATGTATTACAACAATTTTAAAAATAATCATTTAGCTTTTCCCTGACTGGCGACAGCCTCCATGGCTTTCTTAACAGTTTCTTCGTCTCCCAAAAATTTCATTGAAACAATTGGCTGGAACTTTTCGTCTAATTCATAGACAAAGGGAATTCCAGTCGGGAGATTTAGACCCATTATTTGTTCATCACTCATCTCTAAAAGATAATGGATCGATGGGATAAATAAAAATAAAATAGTAAATTATAATAAAATTAAATATATCATATAATTGATGTTTTGTTATCATATTTGTTTTAATTTTGGCGATTTTAAACATAAATCTAGTCATAATGAAAAATCCCAAACTAAAATAATGTACAGACTGAATATTTTAGTATTTAATACATCTTTTATTGTTTTAAAATTGGAAGTGGGGTAAATGAAAAAGTTGAAAGTGAAAAAATGAAAATGTAATGTTCTTGGATTAATGAAACCAAAATAAAAAAATTAAAAGTCTTCATTACTTACTATCAAGATGTTTAACAATTCCTCTCAAGCTGTTTCCATGTGCAGCAATAATAATTTTTTTACCTAAAACCAACTAGAAACACAGAAAACCATAAAATAAATATAAATATATATATATATATATATATATTATATATATATATATGTATATTTATATATATATACATGTATATATATATATATATATATATATATATATATATATTCATTTCTCACTTGTGGAATGATAACTTTATTCCAGTAAGGCAAAGTTCTTTCAATTGTGAGTTTTAAAGACTCACAGAAAACCATAAAATAAATAAATATATATATATATATATATATATATATATATATATATATATACTAGCTGACCCGGCAAACGCTGTTTTGCCATCAAAAATATTTTGCTGCATTGCAGAAGTTCTTATGATATACATGATATATTAATAATAATGATATATTTTTATTACACAAATTTCTTTACATTTTGATAATTAATTCGAACGCATCATAGTGCTTTGTTTATTTTAATTTTATTTATGTCAAACAGTGAAATATTTTTAATCAATGAATAAATTAGATTTTAGTCTGAATCAACGCAGTACCATTATCTGAATATATAATACTTTATATAAATATCAGATTTTTTACTTTTGCATTTAATTTAAAAATATTGAATATCAATTTCATATATCCAATATGCACTAAATTTTTAAATGCCAAAATATTTCCTTTTTGGTTCGAAATTTAATATAATATGATATAATTTATATCTATAATTTGATTGCCAATATTGCCTATAACATAACTTGGAATAATTAATTTATTTGTATCTTATTGAAGTCGTAAAAACATTCATTTTTTTTGAACTGTCAGAATTTTGTTTATGATTAATGTTAAATTCAATATGTCGCTTTTTTATTGTTGTTAATGTTTTAATCACTTATCATATAAATTTTCGACTGCAAATTGATATTCATACTATCCCTGAAACTAACATGGATAAAGTTCTGAGAAATCCGAGTCCAAATCTATAAAATGTTTGATTTTTGGCACTTTTATTAATTTTTTATCAATTTTCGTACTGTAAAATAATGGATGATTATTTATCAAAATTGTAATATTTAGACTATAATTTTATATGTATACTTTTTATTTTGGCATTGAATTATTTTCATTGAAATCAAGTGAAACATAAATATATTTATTCGATATTTATATAAAACATATAATTAAAATATGCATTAAAATCATATTGTCTATAAATAATATGTCATTTTATAAATAGTATTTATTACTTTGGTACTTGATATGGGTATGAATTTTTAATAAAATATATTCTTTCTGACAAATAGTTAAAAACTTGTTATAATTTTCAAAATTATTTGACATTTCATACTTCAAAAATTAATTTCATATATATATATATATATATATATATATATATATATATATATTCATTTCTTACTTGTGGAATGATAACTTTATTCCAGTAAGGCAAAGTTCATCAATTGTGAGTTTTAAAGACTCACAGAAAACCATAAAATAAATATAAATATATATATATATATATATATATATACATGTATATTTATATATATATATATATATATATATATATATTTATTTATTTATTCATTTCTTACTTGAGGAATGATAACTTTATTCCAGTAAGGCAAAGTTCTTTCAATTGTGAGTTTTAAAGATTCATACATTGGGAATGTATCGACAGTCAAATGATCTTTGTATCTGGGATCTTCTACAATATCAATATAATAAGGATGATCTTTTGTCATCTCTGGTGGGGGCACATCAAAACTTCTACGCCAAATTTGCACCTAAAAAAATACCATGATAACTAAACAATAATAATTGATGAAGTATAAAATTGTAAATAATTCAGTAAAGTATATAAATATTAATAGTAAGTGCATGGTATTACCTTTTAGAGTTTTTTATAACATACCTGGCTTTCTCCATATTTAGCTGCTGTTTCAGCTTTATTGAGTCCGGTAAGACTTCCATAATGTCTAAAAAAGATTTCAATATATATACTTAGTAGTATTATTCTAAAATATACTATTGTTAATATATAAAAGGATTAAAACACTCAGGAGTTGATATTAAAATATCAACAAGATAACTAGTTTAGAGTTCTATAAGATTTTTATGTCTTTTATGTCTTTTAAATCTCTCTCACCTTTCATTCAACCTCCAGCTCTTCTCGACTGGAACATCGGGTTGTCCAGACTCTTGCAAAATTGTTTCGAGTGTTTTCTGAGCCCTCTTCAACAATGATGTATGTGCAATATCAAACTTGAGCCCGTTGTCTTTAATTGCTTGGGCTGCTGATTTGGCTTCTTCGATACCTAGATAAAGGTAAATGAAACACACTTACTACTGTATAATTATATAAATGTACACTGTACTACGTACTGTAAAATTATATAAAGAGTCTGATGTACTTATTTAATTTTGAGGTTAAAGTTATTAGACTATTACAACTACAGTATTAATTGTCTCTTGCATGGAAAATTGTACATATAACAAGTAAGAATTATATTTAGCCTTTAATTTAAGTATATTATCATATTTCTTACAATTACATAACGCCTAGAAATTACAATTATTATAAATACTAACCTTTCTGACTCAAATCAGCATCAAACCATCCACAAAACAAATTCTTCTGATTCCATTCACTCTCTCCATGTCTTACCATAACAATTGTATATTTAACCATTTTTATTAATGGATCTAATACGTTTTTAGTCTCAAACTAAACTAATATTAAATATTTTATCTCTAAAAGTTGATAAGTTAATTGCAAAAATGTTTTGACCTTTATTTGACATAAAACTGTCAACTGATAATTGATACAGACAAGTTTTTGGCTAATTATTTTATTTATTTTAATATTGAATGATTTATTAATGTGCTTTTGTTGTTCATAAATAAAAAGTTAATACGTAATAGCTCATATTTTGTGATAATAAAAAGTTAAAGATTTGAACTGTCACCTAACCTCAAATTTGACAGTTGGTAAGTCATACACAATTTTTATTAAAAACTTAAAATACTTTTAAATTTGTTTATTTAATGCTTTATTAAATTATAATGATCATTTAATAAAACAACGATGTGTATTATTAAGTAAATGACACTAATAATTCATAAAGGTCAAACTTTAAACTGTCAACTTATGGCGGAAGATTTGAATTTGAAATATCAGATAATTGTTATGATGTTTAAAAAATTTTAAATTAGCTTTGAATGAGTTTATTTAATTAAATAATTTATTAAATATTATTGTTATCAAGTAAACCAATTAATAATAAATAGAGAAATAAATGAAAAAACATTACAATTAATAATAAATTTCATTTTTAAATGTTTATCCATCGCAAAATTTGTTAATAGTTACTAACTGTATTTTCATTTATTTAAATTTTTATGTATTTTTTTGTTGTAAAATCGTTAGTTTAATATTTTATTTGTTTATTTTCTTATTTTTGAACTACACATTTATTTTAATATTTCTTAAATCTTTTTTGTATAAAATTTATTATAATTTATTACTTATTTGAATCACTATTTGTTAATTATTTAATGACTTATATTTTTGATTATTTAAATTTTTCTCGCAAAAAAATATATATATTCTAAATGTTTTTTCACCATTTTTAAACTTTAGTGTTTAATATTTTGGATAAACTGTTACAATAAAATTAATATCATAATAACTTTTTATAATTATTAAATTAAAGAAACAATTTTTAAAAAAAACTGAACATATTCATGAATAAATGCATTTTATAAATGCAATGCAAAAAAAATGCATTTTTTCTTTTTTTCTACAAATAAGTTTATATCTATTTCTTCTTATATTTTCCAGATTTTTCGGTGAATTTGTGGAAATATTTTGAAGAAAAGTTGAATCACTTTATTTGAAGAAACCCTGATGATGATTCTTGGTTAAAATTAGAATTGATTCATCATAGAAATAATTAATTTAGAAACAAAACAGAATTCTAAAAATGGAAATGGATTCTCAAATAAAGGCAAGTATAATATTATATCTTGTTATCTTATATTTTTATAAAGTCAAAAAACAAATCTAGAACAAATTTAAAACACATTTCTTAATATTTACTTGAAAATTATTATTAATCACTCAACACTTCTAATTTTTTTTTTCTATCCCAAACATAATTTTTAATATTTTTTTTATCTAGGACAAATTTGATTCCAAAAAATTTATTTATCCCTTCTTTTACTAACTGTACATTTATTCACTAACTTATTTATAAATCTAGTTATTTATTTAGTAATCAAATTATTTATTTTAAACTAGCTAATTGATTAATTGTTTAATAATTTAGTTAATTAGTTTATTTACTTATTTGTGTATTTGTATTTTTTTTTTTTCATTTTTATAGAAATGTTCTCCAGAATCCAGAAATTTCTTTCTGACAATATGCAATCCAGATGCTCTCCAGATAAAAGCCAAAGTGTCAAATGACCTCAAAGGGTCCTTTTCTGGGTCCTTGGAAAATAAACAGAACACTCAGCATGACCTGTTTCGAAGGGATGACCTTAAATATATGAAAGAAGCCGACAGAGGCAAACTGGGAAGGAAATAGTAGGTACAAATTAATATATATATATATATATATATATATATATATATTTATATATACATCTTAAAACGTTCTCTGAATATTAATTTTACAATTCTGAAGTCCAAGTCCACTGCATCCATTTTTGGATTCGTTATTTACATTTTATATAATATGATTATTATTATGAAATTGATACCGTTCGTCTTGTAATTTAAATATGGTCAAGGGGTCCATATAAGGACCCCAGGAGGACCCCTATATGGAATACTTTGATAAAATATTTTACAGCTAGAAAAAATTATATTCAAAAGTAACTAGTGGTGTATAGCATCGTGCCTTAAGGCAAATTGCTGTAACTTCCCGTACCGTAATGAAATATTCGAGAAATTTTAAACGTTTTCAAATATATTATTACAAATACTGTAACTTTTATTCATATTTTTGCTATCTTTTGTTATATCTGAGCAAATCAATTGATTTACAGTATTAGTAATAATATATTTGAAGTTACAGTATTTGTAATAATATATTTGAAAATGTTTAAAATTTCTCGAAATGATTGATTGAAATGAAATTTTATTTAAAATTTGCATTTAAATGCAAATCATAAATCAATTTACGATTTATCTCCAGGAACATTAACAATCGTCATTTCATTTCGAATTCAATTTCAACAAAAAAAAAATAGTTGCCTAATTTACACAAAATTGAAAAAGTGCTCCCGTCTAGTCACAGTCTAAACGCATTTGCAAATAATTCTGTGCGACATTTTCACTTACACTGTGCTTAGCTTGGCGGCATTTTCACATTTTTCAATAGTTTTCACAAAATTGGTGCTGCACATAAACAGTCTAAACGCACTTGGGTGAACATTTGTACCAGAGTGGCGCTTAGACTGTGCTTAGCCTGGGTAATTTTTTGTATTTTTAATCCAAAATTACAAAAATATTTTATGGAAAGTAAAAAAAGATGTAATAATTTTTTATCCTCAAAAGCAATTATTTTGTTTTTTGTTTTCTCTTAAAGTTTCTTAAAACTCCTTTGTCATTTTAAAATATTCAGGTTACTCGTCAGTAGAGTCCCTCTCGACTAATATTTTCATTTGCTCGTCAGTAGAGTCCCTTTTGTCCTAATGTTTTCATTTGATCGTCAGTAGAGTCCGTTTTTTATCTTTGTATTTTTATTTGCTCGTCAGTAGAGTCCTTTTTTCTAATATTTTTATTATGCTTGTCAGTAGAGTTTCTTTTTCTCCCAATATTTTCAATTTGCTCGTCAGTAGAGTCCCTTTTTCATTCAAAACGTTTTAAGCTATATTTTGCTTGTCAGTAGAATCCTCTTTCCTAATATTTCCGTTTGCTCGTCAGTAGAGTTCTTTTCCCAATCATTACAAATTGAGTATTTTTTAGATCATTCTAATCCGATGTTTCGATCTCTCAAAAACTCGATTTGTATTTTCTGCACTCTTTGCTCTGTATCTCCGAAACGGCTTGACCTGCCTTTGCCCAGTACTAATCAGCACATCTCCCTATCAATAGGACTCGAATGTTGTTCGAATTATTCAAATCGGTTGATCGGTGTTCCCGAAATCGTTGACGAAAATTTGTATCCGCACACACATGCACACATACATACACACACATCCATTTTTACAAAGTAACTCTGAAACGTAAAGATATATAAAAAAAATTATTTTCGATTTTTTTGCGTATACTATAACTTGCCCTATGGAAAGTTAATAAATGAGTGAATGAACTAGGTGCTCTTAGACTTATATTCTCTAATACTCGGACAGTCTGATTTCAAGCAGTAGTGACTTGAAAATATAGATATAAATATGTTTTCAAGTCAAATCAGCCCTTCCTCGACATTGTTGCGTCAAATAAAAAAATACAAGTACATATATTAGTATTCAACAAACGCTTTTTATATTTTTATTATTTGAAGGACAGACCAAGAAATACACGAAGAATATTCTAAACAGACGAAAAATAAAATTCTACCTTTATTTTCTGATTTCTTGGAGAGGAATCATTTGTAAATGCTGCACGTAGTTTGATAAAAATGCAAAAAATGCGATTGTACGGGAGAGAATAAAGTGGGAAAAATACTAAAACAAAATCACTTTACTTTTTGTTTTAGATATGAATAAATAAATACATGAACAATTCACTATTTATTTATTTTGCCGATTTAATACACCCCCACTAATGTCCATCAATTTACGACTGAATGTTTATATCGAGAGGCCATTAAATAAAATTTTCAGGTTATCGACCGCTAATATTTATTTCCAGCAGTTGTAAAAATAATTGATTGAGTATAATTTATTTATTTATTATTTCTGGGTTCACTCCCTGTCTATATATATAATATTCATTCATTAGTAAATATAGAAATGCAGAATGTGGTATGTGGTATTTAATGGTATTGTCTGCAACTGCGAAACACATGTGCGGGTGTAAAAGAGTAAAAGACCCTTGGGCGAAGGATTTTAAAAATCTTAGTTTCTATAAATAATATAAATTTTATTAAATTTGAACGTTTGAAATATTAAAGATTATTTTATAAATTTTTGTCTCAACCAATTTTTGAATCCATCCAAGTATCTTACTAAGCTGTGTTTAATTTTTTTATTAAGTCTTAAATATAAAACTTAAAAAATTATATACTAATTATATAAAATAATTAACAAATTATTTTTCTTGGTTCGATTAAGGGTTTTAAAAGCAATTATCTTAAATTAAAATTATTATTAAAAGATTAAAAATTCAAAAAATTACCCAGGCTAAGCACAGTCTAAGCGCCACTCTGGTACAAATATTTACCCGAGTGCGTTTATACTGTTTATTTACTGGAGCACTTTTCCAATTTTGTGAGAACTATTGAAAAATGTGAAAATGCCGCCAAACCAAGCACAGTATAAGTGAAAATGTCGCACAAAATTATTTGCAAATGCGTTTAGACTGTGACTATGCGGGAGCACTTTTTCAATTTTGTGTAAATTAGGCAACTATTTATTTTTTTAAATTGAATTCGAAATGAAATGGCGATTGTTAATGTTCTGGAGATAAATTGATTTATTTATGATTTACAAAAATAATGAAAGTTACAGTATTTGTAATAATATATATTTGAAAACGTTTAAAATTTCTCGAATATTTCATTACGGTACGGGAAGTTCCAGCAATTTGCCTTAAGGCATGATGCCATACACTACTAGTTTTTAAATAATTTGAAAATTAACCATGCAGAATGTAGTCCAGAGTAGTATTGATCATTATATTTTATTATTTATATATTTTTATTTTTTCTTATTTTTATCACAACTAACTAGGTGTTCAATTTTCCGAAAAATTATTTTTATTTAAAATCCTAATGATTTTTATATTTTTTACTGACTTTGCTACTGCTTGACATGAGGTTGTCCGAGAAAGGTGTTTGAATCCGAAACTTTGCATTTGAAAGACCAAAGCTCTTACGACTATGCCACAAACTAGTCCAAAGATTTTTATAATAAAAATTATTCTTGTAATAAATTCTGATTTATATATATACTAGCTGTCCCGGCTAACTGATGACAAATTATTCGATTT